CAAGGAGAAGGCCCCTCGCAGCCGTACCGAAACCGGAACCCTCGCTGTGGAGGCAAAGAGGGGGTCAGCCAAGGATGGCCCAGACCTGATGCCATGAGAGCAGGGAGTGACAGCTAAGCCTGCCCTTACCTTGGTGATGTCCTTACCTGCTTTGGCTGCTCGATGATGACAAGGTAGGGACCTTCCGCTGGAGGACAGAGAGGAGAGAAACACAGGATAACCAGAGCACTGGTGAGAAACACAGGATAACCAAAGTGCGTGCTCCCAGTAAGGATGCTGGAGGTACGGGGATGGTGCTGAAGGTGAGGTGACCCCTCTCTGTTCCATGGGGGTGCTCAGGGCCTCTGGCCCCTGTGCTGTCAGAGCCCAGCCGGGAGCAGCGGTCAGAGTGGCAGGGAGAGGAGGGAAGGACCAGAGGATGCTCTGGCACTCGGGGAGCGTGCAGCCGCTGGGAACCCATCACAGCCCAGTCCCTGGTAGACTGAGCAGCGGGGCCAGACCGAACAGTCCCCATCCCGGTGGCACGGGGCAGGGATTCCCAGCCAGCCCACAGTGGGGCCAGCGGGGACACAGCCTGTGGTGCTGCTGGGAACTACGAGGCGTGAGTCAGCCTGCTGGGAAACCCCGCTGCAGCCGGGGACCCCCGGGAGGGCACTGCCAGAAGGGCCCTTACCGGTCTCCATCAGGGGCTCCTTCTGCTCCACCATGTGGGAACTAAAATTGAAGTCCTCATAGTCAATCCCATCTAGGCACTGGGTGACAAGAGGGAAGGCGAGTGTGATCAGTGTGTTGGGGCTGGAACGCCCAACCGTCCTGGGGGGCAGGGACAGTCCCCATCTCCCACCCTGGGGGGAGGCAGTCTGGCACAGACCCGCATTGCCCACCTTGGGGGGGAGGGGCAGGCACAGATCCCCTGTCCCTCCCTGGGAAGGGGGGTGGGCAGGTGCGGACCCCTCATTGCCCACCCCTGGGGGCACCAGCAGACCCGCTTTGCCCACCCTGGGGGCAGACACAGACCCCCC